TAGATATATTAATATTATAGCTATTAGGTACTTATCTAAAACTAGCTTAAATAATTATATTATTTATATATAATCTAAGCTAGGTAAAAATAGTAGTATTTTATCTTCTACTAAAGTTTTTATTTATTAAGATTTAATATATATTAATATAGATAGACTTATAATACCTAAAACCTTTTAAAGAAGCTAAATACTATATTACTTTTAAAGATAGTTTTACTACATATTTAGTTATAAAACTATTAAAATCTAAAAAAGATATAGTTAATATTATTTCTAAAACTATTAATAAACTAGAACTTGAAGCTAGTAATAGTTTGGATGATATTAGCCCATTTAATAATAATTAAATTAAAGCTCTTTAATTGGATAATAAATTTAAATCTAAAGAGCTACTTAATAGTTTAGAGTATAAAGGTATTAAAACTAGATTTTCTAGTCCTTATACACCTAAATAAAATAGAATAGTAGAAATAATTAATAAAGTTCTAATTAATAAAGTATAAGCTTTATTATTTAGCTCTAACTTACTTGAGTCTTTATAAAGTAAATCTATTTTAACTACTTATTACTTTTATAAAAGAATACTAAATAGTTCTATTAGATTTAAAATCTCTTACTATTTTAATTACTTAACTAAATCTAATATTATAAATTTTAGAATATTTAGTAGCTTAGCTTTTAATCAAAACCCTAATATTGTAAATGAGAAACTTAATTTAAGCTTTTACTTTTTAATTAGTTAGTTTTAAACGTAATAATATCTATAAACTTTATAATCCTATGAATAAGAGAATAATTAACTCTAGAGATTCTAAGATAATTAAAGATTATTATTTTAAACTAAATAATCAATAAGCAATTAATAAAATATATACTAAAGCTAATAATAAGCTAGATAATAACTTAAATAACTTAGACTAGATAATTCCAAAGATAAACTAAATTAAGAAACTACTTCTAATAAATAAGTTATTAACAAAGTTGAAAGAAGCTTAAGAAATTAATAAGTAGATAATTATAGTTTAGAAGAACTAATATTAAATACTATTATAATAAAGTACAGAGGGGTGACATGAAAAAAGAGTGTTCCTAAAAGTTCTAGTTTTTAAACTAGTATAANTAGCTGAATATTAAATCTATTTCCAATTAGGATAGCTCATTTTAAAGGCAAGAGGTAGTAGTTTAACCTAGATAGGCTTAGTGCCTGCTTAATCAGCACGGTTAAGGCACTAAATAGGGCTAAAGTAGAGCTAT